TAATGGTTGGCACTCATCCTCAGAAGATTAAATCCTAAAAGATTTTTGTCCTGGGACCTATATCATTCCAACTTCTGCTCATGGCCTATTCTCTTCCCTGAAGATCTCTAGACCTTAATACAAAAATAAACCCTACCTTTTCCACCAGCCCCATTGACATACCTATTTAAGTCAGAATTTCCAGAAGAAACTCTCATGCCCATTACCTGGTTAGAAAAGATTCTTGCTCACCTATGGACAGATCTTTTACTGGCCTGTGATGCATAGCAACACTTTCAGATCCAACTTCTCTTTTTCCTTCATGGGTGTTTCCCAAAGTGGCAGTGTTTCAGCTGTTTCCTCTTCTTTGGTAAAGGTAGGGGAACCTTTCTGGGGGACCACCCCTCATATACAGTCAGTTCAGGAGCCTGGGTTGGGGCTCCACTTCCTGCTGCAAGGATGGAACATGTGGCCAGTTTGACCAATGTCAGTACACCACATCCCCCAGCTCTTCCCCCTACACCAAAACTCGAATAGTTTTGGGTTTCAAACTTGCATAGTACTGAACAAAATCTGACGTGAAAGGAGAGTTGAAGGGAAACTCCACCACGTTGCCAGACACTACACTCTGTACTTTCCCACTTTCTTTTTTTTTTTTTTTTGAACAGAGCCTCATGCTGTCGCCCTGGGTAGAGTGCCATGGTGTCACAGCTCATAGCAATTTCCAGTTCCTGGGCTTAAGTGATTCTCTTGCCTTAGCCTCCCAAGTAGCTGGGGCTACAGGTGCCTGCCACAGTGCCTGGCTATTTTTTGGTTGTAGTTGTCATAGTTGTTTGTCAAACCTACCAGCTCTGGTGTATGTAGCTGGCACCTTAGCTACTTGAGCTACAGGTGCCAAGCCAACTTTCCTACTTTCACTGTGAGAAAAAGGACTAGGACTTGGTGCCTGCCTTGAACACCTTGCAGTGGAATTGGGGGCAAGAAATAAAAGCATGGTGAGTTAAGTAGTGCTGATTAAATAATAGCGGGTAACAACAAAAGAAATATCATAGCCCTGCAACTTAGAAAAGGTTTTGAGGGCTGCAGTCCATTACTGACCCTCTTGCTTCCTATCCTTTTACTAAGCCCTACTCACTGTCTGAGACTTAGCTTGGCTATATAACTTCTCCCAGAAAGACCTTTCCAAAACACTTTCCTGCCTCAGCACACCGACACATAAACCCCCCTCAGCTCAGATAGAGTCTCCCTCAGTGTTCCTATAATATCTCCATATGGGTAGGAATACCATTGCACTTACTATATTGCTAACAATCAATGTCTCCCCCACACTTCACAGCAAGGCTCTGAATTTCTTAAAGGTGTAGCGGGGACACCTCTTTCCACAGGTGTCAGCCCTGCATCACAGCCCAAGACCTCCTGCTTTCTCTGGCTCGCTCCCCCAGTAAGTCTCTTGCATATCTAATCCCATCTTAGGATCTTAGCAAACTTCTTAGCAAACCCTAACATGTTATAAGGAATTGCTTTATACTGCCATACATATAGTTTGTTTATGCATTTAGAATATTGGTTTATTGGTCAACAACGTTAAGCCTAATCACCTATACCTTTGGAGTATTGATATTTTTATTATATTTAAGTGTGATTTTGAAAAAATTACTTACATTATCCCATTAAAATATAATGGGATATAATGGGAGTTTTTAACATTAAAAAAACCTAACCAATCACTCGACATAGTGGCTCACGCTTGCAATCCCAGCATTCTGGGAGGCTAAGGTGGGTGGATTGCTTGAGCTTAGGATTTAGAGACCAGACTAAGCAGGAGCAAGACCAGTCTCTATCAAAAATAGAAAAAACTAGTCAGGTGTTGTGGCACATGCCTATAGTCTCAGCTACTTGGGAAGGCTCTGAGGCAAGAGGATCACTTGAGCCCAAGAGTTTGAGGTTCCTGTGAGATACAATGATGTCATGGCACTGTAGCCTGGGTGACAGAGTGAGACTCTGTACAAAACAAAAACAAAAACAAAACCCAACCAACAAAATAGCCTGTGCTTTACATATCCTTAGGAGAACTTATTTCATGTAACTAGGGCTTTCTCTTTTTGCCTTTCTTTCTCTTTTTTTTTTGTTTTCTCTGCAATATAGAGTAGTTGTTAAAACCATAAGCTCTGGCTCAGCGCCTGTGGCTCAAGCGGCTAAGGCACCAGCCACATACACCTAAGGTGGCGGGTTCAAATCCAGCCCGGCCCCCCCAA